TCAAAATTTGAAATATCAAAAACTAAGTTTCATGCCAACATTTTTAAATATCAAGAATTAAGTCTCATGACCATAAAGTCATAATTTTACCTTCTTTTTGTGCAATAAATTGAAGAGAGAAACTAGTGTACTGGAAGTGAGTTGACATTTGAAAGAGGAAGCTTTTTGGGAAAATACCATTTACTTTTTACTTTTTACTGCAGTCTTTTTATTTTTTTTCAACCCTTTCAAATCTTCTGGCTGGGCGATGGGTGATAGGGCATAGGTCACAGACATGAATTCCGTAGGGGCCAAGCCTAGAGTGTGTGTTTGATTTTATGCGTTGTTCCAGGACCGTAGGATCATCATAACTCAATCAATCCTAAGCAATCATACGGCTACAATCACCTCATCAAATCAAAGTACGAACATTAAATAGCCACCGCCTTACTCACAGTCTCCCCCCTACGCCTACAATGCCTATGTACTTAACTCCACTTCTGACACTGCCCCTTCTCCATCTTTCATTTTCCAAACCCTACCCCCAAAATTATTTATTAACAGGAAAAACTAAAACTTTTAGTTTGAGGTTAATAAATAAAATGAATATTATAAAAATAGAGGGAAGAGGGAGAACACAGTAGACGCGACTGCCTTGGAGCGTGGGCGAAAACATGACTACACAAACAGCATGGAGAATAAGAGAGCTTGTCCGATCCGGAGTTAACGTTCGGGGGGTCGGGTCGGTCATTGACCGGCCTTTTTTATATTAAAAAAAGAAAAAAAAAGGATTAATAAATAAGTGATGACGGTTATTTTTGTAAATTCCCCACAAATTCACATTTTCCAATGAATATTTATATCCCCATAGATGCGCCTGTATTTCTCTGAGAGAGAGAGAGAGAAAAAGAGGAGAAAAGCAGAGATCTTTTTGGGGCTATTGATATAGGTACAGAAAATAAATAAATACCGAGTGGAAGGAGGAAGAGAGGAAGAAGAAGAAGAAGAAGAAGAAGAAGAAGAAGAAGGGCAGGCGAGTTTGTTCGTTCCCCTTTTTTTCCATGTTATCCTAAATTTTCCTAACATTGTCCTTTTTGTTTGTGATCCCCATGCCATTCTCCTTTTGTCTCCTCCTCTGCCTTCAGATCTACCATAACCATAACCATAACCATAACCATACCCACCACCACTTCTTTTTCTTAGCTTAATTTGGCAGAGTTTTGTTTTTGTTTCGTAATGGGTACTGGGTGGAGAAAGGCGTTTTGTACTACAATCCCTCGAGACTCCGAATCCAATATCTCCGAGAAGCAGAGAGCGGCCTCCACCAATCCCAATCCGAGCCCCAGAAGCTGCGTTCGTTTGGGTTTCTTCAGCAACCCTTCAACTCCTCGAACGCAGTCACAGCCCACCACGGCCCCCGGCCTCCGCTGCCGAACCTCCCAAGACGCCGTCGATCATTCCAAATCCCAACGCGGAATTGTGGGCTCCAACCCTTCCTCTCCTCGCTCCCCTCTCAAACTCAACCTCTTCAAGAACAGCTTCAAATTCAGAGTATGACTAACGCACTCTCTCTCTCTCTCTCTCTCTCTCTCTCTCTCTCTGTTTTCTAATTTCAATTACATTTATTTGTGTTTTTTTTAATTAATAGAGTAGCTGCGGAATCTGTTTGAGTAGCGTGAAGACGGGGCACGGAACGGCCATTTACACTGCCGAATGTGCGCATGCCTTTCATTTTCCGTGCATTGCCTCTCATGTCAGAAACCACGCAACTCTGGTTTGCCCAGTCTGCAACACCACTTGGAAAGACGTTCCTCTCCTCGCCGCCCACAAAAATCTCGGCCCTCAAACCAACC